GGCCGGGTATTCACTCTCAATGACCTGTCATTGAATTATAGTTATTGTTATTATTGTTAACTGCTTTGTAGAGGGGATATGCGGTTTTCGGTCAATCCATTCAATGCTTGAAATTCTTGAATTGTTTTTATTTTTATTAATTCTTGAAACCTTATTAGAAATGATGGAAGTGCTGTCATAACCAGCCCTATACCCGACACAATAACTTCTTGGTTCATTAGTGCGTTTGCTATGGATCAGGTCACCGGTCTTGGAATTGCACCCAACAGTGCTAAAGTATAACAACGATTAGATTTATATGTTTAAACATATTAATGCTATCGTATCCTTAGGTAACTGTTTTCCGTCCGTTTTTCATCAAACTATCGCTCCCTTACTCTATAATAAGAGGCGAATCGATTGCTCTTCAGGCGATTGTTTTCAATTATTTCAATAAACCCATTGAAGCGGAGGTTGTGATGGATAATAGGAATAACGAGTTTGAGTTCACGAACGCCGCCAACGAAATAGAGTTCGCGGACACGAGAAAAGTGACCGAAAAGAAGAAGTTTGTGACCATTCCGGCCAACGATGGCGTTTCGGTCACATTCCTAATCACTCCCAAAAAGATAGGCTATATTGACATTAAGATAACGGCGACCGCACCGACAGCTGGAGACGCGGTGCTCAAAAAACTGTTGGTCAAACCTGAGGGTCAAACCCAATACTTTAATAAAGCGGTTCTCGTCGATCTCAAAGATCCCAACAGTTCTGCTGTCAAGAAAAATATCTCAATTGTTATCCCGAATAATGCGGTTCCGGGCTCTGAAAGAGTGACCATTTCAGGCATTGGAGATATTATGGGACCCACTGTTAATAATTTGGATGATTTGCTTCGTATGCCTTATGGATGTGGCGAACAGAATATGCTGTAAATAATTGATCTTTAAATTGAAATTAAATAATAATAATAATACTATTTATTTTAGAAATTTTGTGCCCAATATTGTTGTATTGGATTACTTGAGTCGAACTAATCGCTTGACTCCAGCCATCAAATCAAAGGCCATCTCAAACATTGAGAGCGGATATCAGAGGGAATTGACTTATAAGCGAGAAGACGGCTCTTTCAGTGCATTCGGCAATAACGACAAAAGTGGCAGCACTTGGTTAA